AACGTGGCTCTTTCACTCCAGCGCTGTCCTACCAGACAGTCTCGCCCCCTTCACCTGATGAAGGCCGCTTGTGTTGTGGCCGAAACGTCGTGAGAATATTATTGTGTTATTTTATTTTATCAATTTATTATTTTATTATCATTCTACGTGACTTTACCGAAAGAACCAAAGAAGGTTAAAAACTTATCTTAAAAACATTACATATACATATACAGATACTAAGCTATTGTGAAAGCCCGGTGGGCCTTTTGTCCATTTCTCCACCAACAAAATTATAAGAGGCTGGCAGAAATCCAAAAAGTTATAGAAAGTGGGGGGTAAATAATTGATCTAAAAATTTTCCAAAAATTGTTGACCACCCCCCCCCCCCCTCAAAAAATATCTTTACCCCTGCGTAGGTATATATACCTACACACCCTACATACAACAGTTAGTAGTATCTATTGACTCTGTAGTTGTATCTACTGACTGTACAGTAGTATCTACTGAGCCAGTAGCTACTGACTGTATAGTAGTATTTACTGACTGTAGTAGCTACTACTGGCTCTACTGTAGTATCTACCAACTTTATAGTCGTAACTACTAACTATATAGTAGTATCTGCTGACTCTATAGTAGTATCCCCTGACTATAGTGGTAACTACTAATTCTATAGCAGTATCTACTGACTCTATAGCAGTAGTTACTGACCGTAGTAGTATCTACTGACTGTAGCAGTATTTACTGACCATAGTGGTAGATACTGTTTGAGTATCTACTAACTCTATATAGCAGTATCTACTATCACTACAGCAGTGCATACCGACTGTGGTGGTACCTGCTATCCCTACAGCAGTGCATACTGATTGTGGTGGTCTCTGCTATCACTACAGCAGTGCATACCGACTGTGGTGGTACCTGTGATCACTACAACAGTGCATACCGACTGTGGTGTGACCTGCTTTCACTACAGCAGTGCATACTGTGGTGGTACCTGCTATAATTTCAGCAGTGCATACCGACTGTGGTGGTACCTGCATCACTACAGTAGTATATTCTGACTCGATAGCAGTATTTATTAGTATCTACCAACCCTATAGTAGTAAGTGCACACATTGGGATGGGGGGGGGGGGGGAGAAGAGGACATGACACTTAGAAGAATTTACCTCAGCATTGTGTATTTTTTGCATTTTTAACGTGAAAGAAAATGTTTCTGCCCTCCCAACGAACGCATGTGCGTTACTCGGGGGAACCCCCGGTCAGCGTTGTGGCGCATGCGCAAATGCGTGCTTTGGCGTGCGCTCAGCGGCATAAGGAAATAAATAAAAATAAATAAATAGTACTTATCGTGTGGTACCTGGCTACTAAATGGTTAATTAAACTACTTTAAAGATGCAAAATCAGAATAGCACTGGCTGACCACCGGGCTTATCGTGTGGTACCTGGATACTTTTATTAAACGTAAACCCCACGGTTTGCGAGCCAAATCTTTCGCAAATTTCGTCCACACACAGACAGACAAAGAATGCCTTTTATAGGTAAGATAGAGTATTCCCACGTTATTTACGAACTTGCTATCCGCGATTTTTGCTATCTGCAAATTGCATCGGGAACTCTACACGATGGTATGGAGAGAGAATGCGATGACAAAGTGATGAGATGGCAAGTGTTGAGAAAGCAAGCGATGAGAGATGAAGCGATGAGAGATGAAGCGATGAGAGATAAAGCGATGAGATATAGTGATAAGATAAGGAAATATGTTATTACAATAATTGTCACATTTAATAGCATATGTATTACATTTTTAAGGTCATTCTTTAAAACTGTATTCTTGGTTCTTTCGGTACAGTCACATAGATAGAAATCAAAAATAATAATAACATTAAAATTAATGATTTGAATAATACAAATAAAAAATAATAAAAGCAAAAAAACCCACAATAAAAATAGTAAAATACAACAAAAAAATTGAAAATAATAAAAGCAAAAAAACCCAATTGCTGCAATCCTCAAAAGCGCTAAGACACCTATTAGCAACATAGCAAGGATGAGCGCCTTGAGCTTTCTCAACTAAAAAGAGATGAAAGTCATCCTCTCAGGCGACAAGAGCAATGCCACTTTCATCATGGACAAAACCACATACAATAACTATATTCAGGACCTACTTAATGATGGTAGCTATACCAAAATTAACAGAAATCCTAAGAATCGCCTGGTTACAAAAACCAACATCATCACTGATTCGACATCTTTAATAAAACCAACCAAGCAGCTTTCCTTAAAACCCTCTGCTGCCAGACCACCTAGATTTTATGGATTACCAAAAATCCATAAAGGTACACCACTCCGTCCTATCGTCTCCACCATTAGCTCACCCACCTACAAACTGGCCCAATTTCTGTCTGAGACCTTGCAACCATTCACTGGTAAGACCTCCTCAGCTGTACTTAACTCAGCTCACTTGACATCTTCAATGAAGGACATCTCACTATCTCCAGGTGATTTGCTTGTCAGTTTCGATGTGGCCTCTTTGTTTACTAAAATTCCTGTGCCTGACACCATTGCAATCATTGAAGATTTGGTTCAACAAGGACTGAATGCTGATGTACTGGCCCTGGTTAGCCACTGGCTCACCAACACCTGGAATGGAACTTTCTACAAATAAGTTGAAGGTACCCCAATGGGTTCTCCCTTATCTCCAGTTGTACCCAATGTTTTCATGGAGAAATTTGAGACAGATGCCATCCAGGCATCCACCCTACATCCTTCCTTGTGGAAGAGGTACGTAGACATCATCTGGCCACATGGCCTACCAGCTCTGGACCAATTCTTCAACCACATCAATTCCATACACACAGCCATTAAATTCACCATGGAGGTGGAAAAGGATGGCAAGTTACCATTCTTGAATGTTTAGATCAAAAAGAGACCTCATGGCTCAATGGGACACTGTATACAGGAAAGCCACCCATACGGATGCCTAACTAAAACCTGATTCCCACCACCATCCAACCCAGAAGAATTCCCGCATCAAAACTCTATACCATAGGGCTCGTTGTATTTCTGACCATCACCACCTAGCCAGTGAATTGGAGCACGGACACAAAGCCCTCAAGAAGAATGGATATTCAGAGTACACAATCCGTAAAGCTATCACCTCAACCGTTGGGAAAGAACCATTTGAGGACCCAATCAAAACCATCACCTTGCCATACATAGCAGGGGTCACCAAAAATATTTCCAAAATCATGAACAAACACAAGATCCAGGTACGATTCAACACAGTACAGAAAATTCTTGATTTGATCCCATCTGTGAAGGATGTGATCCCTGACATGCAAAACCCCAGTGTCTACAAACTAAGCTGTGTCTGTGGCAGCAGTTACATTGGGGAAATTAAGCGACATGTCTCAGACTGGGTTCGTGAACATAAGGCAGATCTGAAACATGGTAGGACCAATACCTCAGCCGTGGCTGATCATTATTTTAACGTGGTGGGCACACACGAAATTGATTTTACCAAGACGAAGGTACTCTGCAAACCCACTGGCTTCACAAAGATTTGTTCATGAGGCCATCTAGATATATAAACACAGACATCATTTCAACCGAGAATATGGGTACAAACTGAGCAATCATTGGAAGGATGTTATTCACCAGTTTAGGTCATAACTGGCTGTGATGTTCCCTTCCTACCTACCTATGTTAGCAGTTATTTTCGACTGAGTTACATTCACTAACACAGCCACCGTTAGCTATGTTAGTAAATGGCGGCTTGCTATCCTTTTCCACCTTCATGTGGTGATGGCTCTTTCCGAGCTCTCTCCGAGCTTACATTTACAAGCACATTTCTTACATTGACATGCTAATCTCTCACAATACAATGGCCACCCCCACAGCTTCGTTTCTGAGTTACATTCACTAACACAGCCACCGTGAGCTGTGTGAGTAAATGGCGGCTTGCCATCTTTTCCACCTCCATGTGGCGATGGCTCTTTCCTAGCTCTCTCCTAGCTTACCTTTAAAAGCATCGCTAAACCTTTATAAACAGCTCGTTGATTGGGGTAGACCTACTGAAGGTTACGGAGACCTCTCCTACATTAACATTAGCTGCCCCGCTCATCTGTAAACCTTTGTAGAGGTGTTAACTACGCGCTGTTGCGTAACCTGCATTGCCACCAGGGCAGTGCAGCATTACCCCTGCGTACAACGGTTGGGGTCAGTCAGGTGAAACGGATCGTAGCCAGGGTTTGGTACGAACCAATCAGACGGTTCCATGTGGGAATGTGTGATTGGTTCTACCTGGCCACGAAGGAGTATAAGACAGGTGACCCAACGGACCTCGGGGAGTTCTCTCTCTACACGAAGACAGAAGACTGGGCTGGAGCCTAGCCAGGACCCTGGCCCAGCCTTACAGCCCTTCTAAGTGCTAAGGTTCGGCATACCCAGTGGTCAGGACCCACCGGGCCAGCGGTGGGTCAGATAGCCTCCCCTAGGTCCTAGCCGGAGGACTAGGATAGCGGTAGACGTGTGAGTTCCGCCAAGTCCGGAGGCTGTACCTCCTTAGGTATCAAGGAGGTTAGCGGTAGACGTGTGAGTCCCGCCAAGTCCGGAGGCTGTACCTCCCTCGGGTATCGGGTGAGGGGACCGAATATCCCTGTGTGTGTTAAGCATTGTATAAGGAAATAATACAATAAACAGAGTGTGCCTCCTAAGAAGTCTGCTCGTCCTTACAACACTACACCTTTATAAACAGCCTGCCTCAGCAGCTTTCCCCCTCTTTTTTCACTTGAAGACAATTGCTTGTGTTGCGATCGAAACATCATGATATTGTTATTATTATTTTTTCTATCTATGTGGCTTTACCGAAAGACGCAAAGAATATGAATTCCTGGAGTCACGAATGCTTTAAGTCAAGAAAAAAATAGTAAAATAAAATAAAAACAAATAAATTGATAATAATAAAGCAATAAACCCACAACGTTTCGATCGCAACACAAGCGGTCTTCATCAGCCGGAAAGAAAGAGGGGGCAAGCCTCCAAATGCAACTGCTTCTAAGGGTTCCAAAGTGAGTGGGCGGTGGAAAAATCTGCGCAAGCAAAACGAGCTGTGCAAGCAACACACTAATGCAGGAGCAATACAAAGGGGGAGTCAGGAGGAGGTGAGCTTGTGCAGCACAAACAGCATGGGTGGGGCAGTCAGTCAGCTTGTATATGTTTAGTTTACTGTCCATTCCCCCCCACCTCCAATTACCATGGTTGGCTACATACGGCGCGAAAGAAGTTCAACATGTGTACGTACGCAAGTCGTCTGTGGCAGATATTAATGATTAATTTGGCCTAAAAAATCCTTTTCAGGCGGGGACAGCGGCAAGCGCTGCCCTGATCTTGCTCAACAGCGCTTCGTGCAACCCCAGGCTGTGCAGTTGCTTCAGCAGGCCTCTTCAGAAACTGATAAACCCGTTGGAGAGTATGCCCAACGAAAAGTTGACAATAACGAAGGTGGTCATGAACGTGAAGGCGAAGTAAATCAGAGGCCTGAGGACGCGGTTGGCCGCGTACAGTTTACCGTTGCCCGGCTGACCCAGGAACAGGGAGAACCTGCTGCTCCAGGCACGTGGTGAACGTGCGTAGTTCCATAGCGAGCTGCCAAACAGCAGCCTGGCGAGCTGGCCGAAGCCGCAGAAGATGACGAGCACGATGACGGCGAAGCCTTGGATGTGGTTCCACGCCTCCGAGAAGGCGCCGACGAGCACCTTGAATTGCCTGAGGGACTTCATGTGGCCTAGCACCTTGATGGTGCTGACAAACACGAGGGTCGCCAGCAGTTCCGAGACCTGCCGGTCCCACGTGACTAGTTCCTGAAAGTTGACAAACTTGTCTATAAAAGAAGAGGGAAGGGGTCCATTGAGATTTTGAACTCTGAACAATGTCTATTGAGATTGAGTAATCGTGCCGGCAATCTGTAAATTATAGCACTTACAATAATGGGGAATATATAACTCCAGCTCCACTTTCGATGAACAAATCAACTGATCATTAAACGTACCGGTCCAGAGAGACCCGCCCGTGGCAGTTTGTGAAGAACTTACGTGGATCCGTTCTGAACTTCTCAAGCGTGCGCGTGGCCACGCTCATCTTGATGAAGTAAGTGACCACGGAGGCTGCACCCAGCGCGATGCTCAGCAGCTCCGCGATGTTCCAAAAGCTTTTGAAGTACGCCACGCCAAGTTCAGACAAGCGCAGGGCCTCCGTGGCAGCAATGATCACCAGCAGGATGGCAAAGACGATGTAAACTACGCCGGTCAGGGTTTCCAATTTGCCCAAAAAGCTCTCTATCCTAAACACGTGGATGTATGCATGCCCATGCGCACCACCTGCAAAACAGTGAACAACATACGTCAATTTAACACGTCGGCTTTCGCGACCAATATTACCCATAAGAGGTTACTGGGTTAGCTCACGTAGAAATAAATTGTAATTTATATGCATACATTAACACCCCCCAACCCCCCAGCCTTTCGCACCTGATTGGCTCACAAGTGACAACATCACATTTATCCCTCTATTTAAGACCAAACCAAGAGGATTTATCCACAACTCTGGCTGTCGCCTGATTCTGGTTGTAATTACCAGTGAAACGTTGTCCTCGAATTGTAAATGTTGTGGATTTACTCTCCAACACAACCGGTGTGCTGTACTAGTCACGTGACAAACCTTACTAATTGGCTGTGAGTGGTGGCAGGTTTAACGACACATTTACATTTACACAATCTAACCCAAAAACCTCTCATGGATAACATATGTGAAGTAAATACACATTCTTGTGCTGTCATAATAATAATGTTCTGAAGAATGCAGATACTGCCGTGGTGGTGTTAATGGTCAACCCACTGGACTTGCGATGCAGAGGTCACCGGTTCTATTTCACCGCACGGCAGATGAAACAATGGTGCAAGTTTCTTAAAGGGTGCCGCGGTGGCAAGATGTTAACTATCTTGCCGAGTATGCAGGAGGCTATGGGTTAGATCCTGATCCTGATGCCTTTCTGTATATTTGGAATTAGATTTTTCAATGGGTTCTCCGGTTTTTCCCTCCACATTTAGAATCAACATGCGCTTTGAGTATTTGGCTGCTGCTATACATTTACACACGATACGCCACTTTGTTGAGCTATCATTTATGGCCAGGCTGCTTCTGAAAAAGAGTTACGTAGCGAACCTAAAAAATCCGGGACAGTCATCTCTGCTTGACGTCCTATTGACTAATGCCCCTCACAATTTCACACTTACTGGTATTCTGGGTAATAACCTTAGTGATCACTTCTTCATATTTGGGGTGAGATAATCAGCCAGACCAAACCCCCCCCCCTAAATTGGTTGATAAGCACTCCATGAGACACTTCACCATACAGGCATTTACTAATTCTAGATTTGAAGCTTTCGTGACTGCAAGGATCCATACTCTTTGGTTCTATTCAGTAAAGTCACGTAGGTAAAAATAAAACAACAAAAAATCACGACGTTTCGGCCACAACACAAGTGGCCTTAATCAGATGAAGGGACCAGACTGTCCAGAGGACAGCGTTGGAGTGAAAACAACCAAGCCCAGGTCGCGTCCTTTAAACTGTGTGGGAGGAAACAAAAGCGCCTTGACAAAGCAGACGTTGCGAGAGCTGAAATAGCCACTATTCTTAAGAATGCTAAGAAACCCATTAGCAACATCAGCAAAAATGAACGCTATGAACTCGCGAATTTAAAAAACAGAAATGATATAGTCATCCTCTCAGCCGACAAAGGCAACGCTACTGTAATTATGGATAAAGATTCATACAACAACAAAATCCAGAACCTGCTCAACGATGGAAGTTACTCAAAAATTAAAAATGACCCTACTAATAGCCTAACGATAAAAACCAACAAGATCATCACAAGTTCGACCTCCCTAATCGAACCAACTAAACGTCCCTCCCTAAAACCTTCTGCTGCAAGACCCCCTAGATTCTATGGTCTTCCCAAGATTCATAAAGAAGGCACCCCACTACAACCCATCGTATCCACGATCAACTCCCCTACCTACAGGCTAGCCCATTTTCTGTCAGATACCTTGCTGCCTTTCACTGGCAAGACCACCTCAGCAGTACTTAACTCAGCCCAATTGGTCTCTATGGTCAAAGACGTTGTACTGTCCCCTGACGATATCCTTTGTCAGCTTCGATGTGGTATCTCTGTTCACCAAGGTCCCAGTACCTGATACCATTGAAATAATTGAAAATTTGGTCCAACATGGACTTGACCCCGATACACCTGCGCTGGTTAGGCACTGCCTCACGAATACCTACTTTACTTGGAATGGCACCTTCTACAAGCAAAATGAGGGTACCCCCATGGGTTCCCCCTTGTCACCAGTGATAGTCAATGTTTTCATAGAGAAATATGAATCAGACGCCATCCAGACTTCCACCCTCAGACCTTCCCTGTGGAAGAGATATGTAGACGACACTCTCGTTATTTGGCCACATGGCCTCCCAGCTTTGAACCTTTTCCTAGACCACATCAATTCCAGACACCCCACCATCAAATTCACCATGGAAGTGGAGAAAGATGGCAAGCTGCCATTCGTGGATGTTCTGTTTGAGAGAAGGACTGATGGCTCATTGGGACATTCTGTCTACAGGAAACCCACCCACACAGATTCCTACTTGAAACCTGATTCCCACCACCACCCGACTCAAAATAATTCTATCATCACAACGTTATACCACAGGGCTCATTGCATTTTGGACCAACACCACCTGACCAGTGAATTAAAACATGTACATCTGGCCCTCAAGAGGAACGGATACTCTGACTGTACCATCCGCCAAGCTGTTTCTCCCTCCATACAGAAACCACCACTTGATACTCCGATCAAAACCATCACACTACCATATATAGCAGGCGTTACTAAAAAGATCTCCAAAATTCTAAACAAACACAAGATCCTGGTCCGGTTCAATACAGTACACAAAATCCGTGACCTGATCCCATCCATGAAGGATGTCATTCCTGACTTACAGTACCTGGGGTTTACAAATTCAGCTGCATTTGTGGTGACTGCTATATAGGGGAGACGAAACGACATGTCTCTGACCGAATTCGCGAGCACAAATCAGATTTGAAACACGGCAGAACAAATTCTTCTGCCGTAGCTGATCACTGTTATAACGCTGTGGGTGATCACGATATAGTTTTCTCCGATACCAAGGTTCTCTGCAAACCCACGGGTTTTTATCAGAGATTTGTCCACGAGGCAATTCAGATTTACAAACACAGACACACTTTCAACCGAGAGGATGGTTTCAAATTAAGCAATCATTGGAAAGATGTTCTAAATCAAACCAAACATTAAACTAATTTTCAATGGTACAGTATATTTTTTCAAGTAGTGGTATCCCAAACTTTCACAGCTGTTTATAATCCCTTCAAACCAACATTATGTAAACTCCCCCCCCCCCCCCCCCCGCGCCTGGTCCATCATGTACCTCCTATGTACATCATGCTCATTTTTATGCTAATTCCTTTGTCAAGGCACTTTTGTTTCCTCCCACACAGCTTAAAGGACACGACCTGGGCTTGGCTGTTTTCACTCCAACGCTGTCCTCTGGACAGTCCGGTCCCTTCACCTGATGAAGGCCACTTGTGTTGTGGCCAAAACGCCGTGATATTTTGATGTTTTATTTTTACCTACGTGACTTCACCGAATAGAACCAAAGAGTAGGCATTTACTAATGATGTGCTTCACTCGGATACTGACAAGGTCTGTGATATCCCCAACCTGACTACGGCTTGGGAGACCTTCAGGTACACGTTTCTACAAATTCTTAACAAACATGCTCCGTTGGTTAGATTTAAAATTAAAGGCAACTGCCCACCATGGTTTGATCCTTTGATTACTAAGCTCATGAAAACTCGGGACAAGGCTTGGGCATGTGCTCAGAAAAGTAATTTGGTCAATGACTGGCTAGAATACAGGATTTTAAGGAATAGATGCGTCAAAAAAATATGGCATGCAAAAAATGCTTACTTTTCCTCCACTCTCCTGGAATCACATGGCAATGCCAGGATCTTCTGGAAAACAATCAAATGTATCGAAAAGGCATCTAACACAGATAATCTGCCCGTTGCGCTTAACCGAAATGGGGACTATTTTTCAGAGCCCCAAAAAAGTCGACAATTTTAACCTTCATTTTTCTGAAGCTGGTCACCTTTTTGATGTATTGGGAGTCACCCCTGCTCATGCAATTTCCTACACCCCTGTCAAAACATTAAACAAATTTAGTTTCAAGCCTATCCACGAAAGTAATGTTCTGAAACAACTGTCCTACCTCAAAGGGTCCTCCTCTACTGGAGCGGACAGTATTTCCATCTTTGCTCTGCTATTGTTGGTCACCTAACATACAAACCAATAGCCTATATTTTCAACCTGTCCATCAAAGAAGCATCAGTACCTCTAGAATGGAAACATTCCTATGTTCGTCCACTTCACAAAGGGGGCCCGTTGATCAAAAATTTTGAAAAATTATTGAACTACCAAATTAGCAGTTTCCTTCCCGACATTAATCTATTACTACGAAACCAATCTGGGTTCCGAAAAAATCTACAGCACCACATCTGCTGCATTAGATTCTCTGAATCACATTTACAGTAGCCTTGATAATAAGCAGTACTGCGCCAGTCTTTTTATTGACTTGTCCAAAGCCTTTGATAGTCGACCACAACACCCTGCTTAGTAAACTAAGTTGCCTCCGTTTCTCCAAACACGCAATAGAATGATAAAAAAATTAACCTCTCTTCTCGTACCCAAACTGTATTCAAAGATGGTTGGAGGTCAAATAGTGTTAAGATAACAAAAGGGGTTCCATAGGGTTCCATAGGGTTCCACCCTCGGCCCCCTCTTGTTCTCTCTTTATGTCAATGACTTGGGCACTAACCTGGATCATTCCAGGGTAAATCTGTTTGCAGATGACACGATACTGATTACTGCTGGCCGCTCTCCGTATGATGTGATTGCTAAGCTCCAAGGTGATTTCAACAAACTACATCAGCTAGTTGCTCTTAAACTAGTCCTGAATACCTCCAAAACCAAGGTGCTATGCTTCTCACCAGGACTAAAGCAGGAAGTAATTTTTCCCCAATTATATTCCTTAAATAATTATCAAATACAGCAAGTCAAGATCTATAAGTAGCTTGGGGTCATCTTTGATTTAAAACTGAATTTTCAAGATCACATTGATTATATTGGTAAAAAGACAAAATTAAAAAAATGTTTTTTTGCATCGACACAAGCACTGCTTCCCCTCTATGTTCTGCTTGGAATTGATCAAAGCTACCATACTGCCTCTACTTGATTACTGTGACATCGTATATAAATCAGCCCCTAGTACTATACTGAAGCTTCACTCAATTTATCACTCGGCCTTAAGATTTGCATTGAAGTGCCCATATAGGACCCACCACTATGATCTCT